CACCTGCGGCCTATTTTGTTTATTCCTCCCACGGGGTTCCCAAGCACTGCCATTATCCTGCGTGCCAGATGAAAGCCTTGAGGGACAGTGAGGGTGAGTGGCTTGTCCAGGACCCCACAGCTGGGAGCACCCTGGCCCTCACATGCACACACCGTGGCTCCGATCACAGCTTTTTCAAATTGACAGTGAGAGTCCCCCCACCTGAAAAACAAACAGGCAGCAGTGACAAGAACAGCATTTCAGAATTCAAACGTACACACTGGTACACTTAAAGGATATGATAAACCTTCTAAAAGACACTCCACTCCACAAAACAGTTCCCCGCTGAATTACGAGCACTCCGCATACATTTGCAGAGGGCTTTGCTTTTCAAAACACGATTGCGTGCATAATATTCCGTAAAACAAGGCACCCGCGTGTAATTCATCAGTTCTGTGTACGCATAAAACTTAGTTCAACAACATCACACACACACACATTTCACACTCAGTCCAAACATCCATGCATCCCTCAGGAGGAAGATGGAAAATGAAAAATAAATAATAAATAAAGGGCTTGTGTAGGAAACCGCTGGTTTTCCTGAGGAATGCTGGGCCCTTGACGTGCTGAAATGTCCAGGCCAACCCCAGAGGTCCTGACCGCTGTCTGATATGTACAGCAGGAAGCAGATCACTCCCGGGGACATGGCTCAGCCTTAGCGGAGCAGAGATGCAGAACAGAGGAGGCCTGGAGGTGGAGGTCACCGTAGAAGGTTAATGTCCACTGGGCTGTTGTCAGCAGCTCTGTTTCTGCGTCAGGGGGAGGGTTGGTTCTGGAGCCTGTCAGTCCACAGCTGGGGTCAGCACTGGGGGCACTGTGGGCTGAGTGAACCATAGCAACTCTGCCTCAGTCCTGACAGCGTTCACAGCAGCTCGTGGGTCCCCCCAAACACACACTCACTTAGAGACCTTGACCGAGCATCTCCTGTGCGCACAGCTGGGACGTGAAGATCAGGGGATGGTCCCTGCCCCCAGTTGCTCGCTGACTACTGTCTGCACAACCAGGAAAGGGTGAGAATTTGGACAGAGGAGGGGGTGGCGAGGAGCAGGGTCCCAGAGGATGCCCCCAGTGGACAAAGAGAATGTGGTCTTGGAGCCCAGATGCGACGTTGAGCAGTTCCCATGATGCAGCTCGACAACCAAGGTTTTCATAAGGTTGAGTGTTCGTGGAGACGTCTGTGCTCTTGCCGAGAAAGAAGTTGGCCAACTTCTAGCTTCCCCAGGGGAACATGGCAACCTGGGATTGCCAGAGGCAGGGGAGGAGAGGAGGCGGCACCGGGCTGACTCCCACGCCATCTGTCAAGGCTGTTGTGAGTGAGGTCTGTACAGTTGCTGAGGGCAGGGTGTGCTAACCTGTGAGGTGGGCCAGGCAGGTGATGGAATCAGGTGATGGTGTCTTCTCCCATCCAATGAGGAAAAGGAGGATCTAAGAGACAAAACCATGGCCAAAGTCAAAGGGCCAGGACCTGAGGCTGCCATCAGCAGCCTTCCCCTCTCGCCATCGCTGCCCAGGCCAGGCCAGCTGAGGACAGGAGTGGGGCAACTCTCGGAGACGGAGGGGACCATCTACCTAGGTGGCATTAGATAGGAGTCAGATCTCTGAGTTTCTCTTCATCTGTGCAGCACTGGGGCCCTGGGAGGCCTCGAGGGACTTCCTGGGGACCTTTAAACTTGTCCCCAGTTAGGTGTGCCCCTATGGACTTCCTGGAGCAGCTGCTCCCCAAGACCCCAGGAGCCAGTCATGGGGCAGTGGCAGGTGGCAACCTCGCCTGCTCTAAGCTGATAACGGCCTCTCTGGTTTCTCTCTCCCTCCCACCTACAGACCGGGCCCCCGTTTTGCAGAGCCCCGATGGGAACTGGGTGGCGCTGAAGGATGGCGTGCTGCCCCCCGCCCGCCTGCTGGCCAAACCTAAGAGTGGCGCATTCCAGGCCCTGGAGGCTGCCTCCAGCATGGCCTCCGCCTACGATGAGATGGGCTCCGACAGCGAGGAGGACTTTGACTGGAGTGAGGCCTTGAGCACGCTATGCCCACGGCCCCAGGATCTGCCCAGGAACCCCCAGCCTCAGCCCATGCAGGCCCAAGGCTTGGACCAAGTCCCCTCCGCCACCTCTGCTCCCTCCAGGCTTTCCCCCCACCTCGAGGCCACGTGCTCTGACTCAGAGACGTCCTCCACGGGCTCCTCCCGGGAAACAGGGCACCATCGGGCCAGGCTGTCCTGGCTGCAGAGGAAGGCTCCTAGGACCCCTGTCGCCGAAAAGATGCACCTCCAGGGGGAGCTGGACGTGAACTTCAATCCCCAGGCAGCCAGCAGGGAGACCTCGGACAGCAGCGAGCCTGAGGAGGCCCACCACGCGCCAGACCGGCGGGCCCGGAGGTGGAGAAGGGCCCGCGTGGGCTCAGAGGATCCAAGCAAGGAGCTATCTTCCCCCAACGCCCATTCCCAGGAGCTGAACACCCACCAGGTAATAAAATAGGTGCGTGCAAGCGCGCGCGCACACTTTCCGGGAGGATGTGCACTCCTTCAAGCACGGTTGGCATAGAGAGTCCGGGGTTAAGACTTCAGACCCAGATTCTCATCATGATGTTTGCTGCTAGGTAGCTGAGCGACACAGACAGGTCACATCAACTCTCTGGCGTTCCACGGCCCCTCAGAGATGAGAGCTTAGAGTTCAAAGTAGCTTTGCAAGGTGTGGCCCCAGACCAGCAGCATCGGGGAACATGCTGGAAATGCAGATTCGCAGGCCCCACCCAGTCCTGCTGGATCCAGCCATCTCTGTGGCAGTGAACTCTCCTGATAATCCTGTGCATGCAAGTGTGAGGGCCACTGGCACCAGGGGAAGGGCCTGGGGCCTAGAGTCAGCCTTCCTGGTTCAAGTCCAGCTATGTGACCTGGGCAAAGCATCTCTCTAGGTCTCAGCTTCCTCGTCTGTAAATGGAGATACTAGTGGAATCCACTTCAAAGAAGGGTTGAGGGGAGTGAATGTCACAGAATTTGGCGTCAGTCCTACCTGACCTGTGCATATCGTGCCTAGAAAAGGCCCGTATTTGGGCTAAGCTCTCATTTTCTCTGTAAAACAAGATCATTAAAAGTGATCTCAGGATTGTTGTGACGATAGAGTAAATACAAAGTTCTGTGCAACTGGGAATCATTATCACCTAGCTCAGGTGCAGACTGCTTTCCCGAAACTGTGAGTAACTTCCCTCCGGGATATTCTTGAGGGTCGTCTGCACACTTGCAGGTATAAAATGCCATATACGCAGCATAAGTAGGTGCTTGAAGCTTCCTATTTATTCTGAAGTGACTTGCAAGTTATCTTTTGGTCTTCATCTTTGCAAGGCGTCGATAAAGAGAAGGCAAGCGCTGAGAGAAAGGTGATGGCTTGGACCAGTGTTGTGTCCACCTTCCCTGGCAGTGTCCTCTCCTCTCCACTAGGTGGCGATGGCGTTGCACTTCCAGGGACTTCGAAACTCTGGTCTCCCGATCCTCCCTTCTCTTTAGTTTACTAGAGCAGTTCTCTTCTCAAAAGAAAAAAATATATATATAGTTTACCTGTATACTTTTAAATTATAAATTTCAAAACACAGATATTATCCCCCTTGACCACAATCCTAAATCCCTGTTATCTTTCCCCAAATGACTACAGTTGTATTTGTGCATTTATACGCATATAGTACATTTAGAAATATAGTTCTGTAAATGTATCTGTGTTTTAGCAAAACCAGCGTCTTTCTATCCATATTCTTCTTCCTCTTTCTCTTAACAATAAGTCATAGGGATGTCAGCACACACAGAACTGCTCATCGTACCTGCATCGCGTGTACGAGAGTGTGGGAGTGGGAGCAATCCATCCGGGGTGCAAGCCGTGAGGGTGCCTTTGCCTGTAGGGAGTTCTTAAACAAAACTAAATCTAACAGAAGTCAGTCTCTTTCTTATCGCTCTGAACCATGCACGGAAAAGTCTAAGTGATGCTAGTGATGGAAAACTTCCCCACGGGGGCAGGCTGCTGCCAGCGTCCACCCAACCCCCTGGGCTTTCCACTCTCCATGGTGGGGAGGGACCACCACCCACAGTTCCCAGAAAGATGGACATTAAAGACTTTCCAGAGGCTGAGGTTATAAACAACGCCGCGGAGAATATCACTGTGCAAGTCTCTTTGCACAAGTACAGGAAGTAGAATTGCTGACTTGAGGTACATGGATCTTTCATTCTAATGAGTACTGGCCAGATCAAGCTCCCAAAGCCTCATAGCAGTTCACGCGGCCAAGCACTGTTTGAGTGTGTTTCCCCTGTTGTCCACAGTACTTAGTGCCGTCAGCCTGTGAAACTGTCACCACCTTAAGTGAGGGAAGAAATGCATTTCTTTTCAGTTAACATTTTCATAGTTACAACTGAGGTTGCGCATTTTTCCCGATATTTAAAGCTATTTGCATTTTTTTTCTTCTGTGAAAGACACATTTATCTCCTCCTGTTATTTTATTGGACCACTTGCCTTTTTCTTATTGATTTTTCCGAATGAGTTTTATTTTGTAATTATGTTGTAGATTTTAGTTTTTTGATGGTTACACATTGAAAATATTTTCCCCTTGTTTATCACTTTTGCCTTAACTTCATTTTACATGCGAAAGTTTTTGTTGCTAACAATTTGTCAATCGTTTTTCTTAATAATAATTTATCAATTATTTCCTTTATTTTTTATTTTGTACCTTGTTTAAGAAAGCTTTTTAAAAGACATTTTATTTATTTTTTCATCCTCACCCAGGGGTATGTTTTCATTGATTTGAGAGAAAGAGAAACATCAATGTGAGAAAGAACCATGAATCGGTTGCCTCCCATATGCATCCTGACTGGGGACCAAACCCGCCATCTAGGTATGCGCCCTGGCTGAGAATCCAACCTGCAACCTTTTTTAAAATTATTATTATTGCCCTAGCCGGTTTGGCTCAGTGGATAGAGCGTCAGTCTGCGGACTCAAGGGTCCCAGGTTCGATTCCGGTCAAGGGCATGTGCCTTGGGTGCGGGCATGTCCCCAGTGGGGAGTGTGCAGGAGGCAGCCGATCCGTGTTTCTCTCTCATTGATGTTTCTAACTCTCTGTCCCTCTCCCTTCCTCTCTGTAAAAAATCAATAAAATATATTTTTTTAAAAATTATTATTATATGCCGAAACCGGTTTGGCTCAGTGGATAGAGCGTCGGCCTGCGGACTGAAAGGTCCCAGGTTCGATTCTGGTCAAGGGCATGTACCTGGGTTGCGGGCACGTCCCCAGTGGGAGATGTGCAGGAGGCAGCTGGTCGATGTTTCTCTCTCATCGATGTTTCTAACTCTCTATCTCTCTCCCTTCCTCTCTGTAAAAAATCAATAAAATATATTTTTAAAAAATTATTATTATCATTTTAAATAGCAGGTTGTCAAGGTTGTTTCTCTTTTTTAAATGTTTTTATTGATTTTCAGGGAGAGGAAGAGAGAGATCGAAACATCAATGATGAGAGAGAATCTTCCATCGGCTGCCTCCTGCACACCTACCACAGAGGATAGAGCCCACAACCCCAGGATTGTGCTCCGACTGGAAATTGTACTGTGATCTCCTGGTTCATAGGTCAACTCTCAACCATTGAGCCACACCAACCGGGCCAACCCTTAACCTTTTGTTCTAACCAACTGAGCCACCGGGCCAGAACTGTCACACATCTTTTTAGCAAAACAGGATGGTCCAGATTCTGGTTGCAAATGTGCATGATGAAGCTCTTCCTGTCGAATGACTAACTAAATGAAAATATCATACTTTCTTGTCCTTAGGAATACATTGTGTGCTCATGGATTCTTGAGTTTAAGATAAGTCACCTAGGACGTTATCACCTGAAGACTCTTGGTCTGAGATTTTACTCATACACTTAACTTCACCATCATTGTTAGAGTCTGGAGATCTGTGTTTCTCTGCCAATTCATCTTCTGAGTCACCCAATAATTGTGAAGCATTGTTCTCTGTCCATTTCTTCTCTTTGTCATTATGAAATTTTGAATTCTCAACTGTATGCAGTGAGCTAAAAGCAGACTCAAAACGGTGATGATTTATTTCACTATTGAATCATTCTTCTAGGCAATTCTTTTCTTCCGTATTATTATCTCAGTCTCCTAGCATAATTGGGAATAACTGATGAGTAATCATGAAAAATATCTCCCAGGGTGATGAAACAGCAAAATATTTCAAAAGATGGGAAGAATTAGATCACGAAGATCCCATCGTGTACCTTAGAGTTACAAAAGGGCCCAGTGAACCCATGTGGTAAATGCAAGATAGAATGTTTTATTTTATTTAAAATATAAGTACATTTTCTATTCTTTGGAAGCCATTCACAAAGTGATAAAAGTCGTGAGATATCAAGCCTTATAAATAGATTGAACAACTAACTCAATGAGGAAACTCAAACACTAAAATTGGGTCTAGTAGACCCTGATGGTATGCTGCGGTTATCTTAACATTCCATATACATCTGCCCATGACAAGGCCAAGAATAAGTGAGAGTCACAGCCTCCGGTGCTCCTGGAGTTCCCCAGGCCTGGCCAGGGACTTGCTCACAGGGGGAGCTTAGGAGATGTTCACCAAGTGGAGAGTAGGAGCTGCAGCGTCATCACTAAGCTAGAACCATAATGACAAGGGAATACCACAGTATTCCTTACAGGTGTGCAAGGACCTTGCTGCATCTCAAAACCTTTGCCTGGCATCCTGTTCTTCCCTCTCTGCCTTTAGCTGAGTAGCTGCTATACTTTGATGCTCAACTCAGACATTGATTCCACAAGGAAGGCTTTTGCCTAATCCCCAGCGTCTCCCAGCAAGTGCCCCTTAGTGGCTATCAGAGCATCCCTCCCACCCCACCCCCTTCTCTGCACGCGCCATCATGGCGGCTAGTATGGAAGGTTTTACTGTGCCTCCTTCTCTAGGGGGGGTGGGCCGGATTTGCTCAGCCTTGCCTTATCAGCACCAGCATGGTGCCGCTCAGGCTGGGTGCTCAGCAAGTATTTTGTGACTAAAAACTCCTGATGAATTCCAACGTGTCTGAGTTTAGATGCTCACCTGTCCGAACCCTTTAGCAAAGTGTTAAGATGCATGTGTTTGAGGAAATAAAAGTGAAAAGTAAAAGCCCATCTGTGTTTCTCCAGACCAGGTCAGAGAGCTGTCACTTTCCTGGACGATCCTCCTGGGTGCCATTGGGGACGAACCACGTGACTGTAGGAGAGGCGTCCTCAGCTCACGATTCTGGTTTTCATTCAGGTGTTGGGTGACTTATCAGAGACCGACCGTGGCAATGAGACTCGGCACCCCCGGACCCGTGCCGACACCACGGAGGAGAAAGTGAGAAACAAGTTGTTCGAGTTGGCGATGAAAATGAGTGAGAAGGAGACGTCTTCGGGGAGGATCAGGAGTCCGAGCCCAAGACAGAGTCCGAGAATCAGAAAGAAAGTCTCTCCTCTGAAGACAACAGCCAGAGCATCCAGGAAGAGCTGAGGAAGGTAAGGGCCCGCTCTCTGCAGCCGGGTCTGGGGAAAGGTTCTGTATTTCGCACTTGAGATGGGCGGGGTCCCCAAAGAGCTCCCTCTGAAATGGCCCTCCCCGTGCGCTTGGGAGAACCCCGGGGAGCCCTTCGCGATGAGCTCTGAGTGGCACAGTCGGGACCCGGCGTGTGTTGTACGGAAGGCTTCCAAGACCTCTCGGCTCTCGCGAACTCTCCTTCGTCGACACAGCCCTTCGGGCTCACGTCTGTAGTTTCGTGCTCTGATCTCTCTCATTGGTGAGGAGCAGGGCTATCCCACCTCGCCCTGGGGGTTCTGCCTGCGGATTGGGATCATGTACCCATCCCTCCTTCAGGCAGTGATGACGCTCCATGCGTGGTCTTCGTGTGGAGGTGGCCTGCCGGACCGTTTATCCCTGCACTTTTCAGATCTGTGTGTGTTTGTCTTAGCCTCAGAATCCATATGTGAAATTCCGGAGTTTTAAACAGGTTAAAAACCCTTCCACTCCCAGGGCTCCCAGAGCCCCAAACACCTCCTCCCACTCCCCCACCCCCACCTGCCAGCCAGAGGTCCAAGCAACATTGTTTGACAACCACAGGAGGTAGACCCAACCCTTGAAGAAAGGGAATCCCAGACCCCCTGCCTCCGGTCAGTGCTCTGCCCCCTCCTCCTCCGTGTGCCTGGGCTCTCTCAGCAGCTTCTCCATGTACTTTCACGCTGAACTTGGCCACGTCAGCGTCGGGAAAACCCCTGATACCTCCAGTGGAGGGGAAGAGGCTGACACTTGACTGTGTCCTCTGTTTACTTCCTTTAGTAAAAACCCTATGAAGTAGATACTCAGGAAGAAACATCCCTCCACCCACATCTAGCAGGTTTCAGAGCTGGGGCTGCACCACGCACCTGCTTGGCCTCAAATCACCGGCTCCTTCCTTCACAATGAGCTGCCTCATCTGTAACTCAAGAGAAGCTCTTGTCTGGAAACTTCTAGATTTCCTTGCATGTATGATCAGTCTTTTCCTGTTTTGAGAATATGCCATCTACATCAACACGTTACTGGTCACCCACGTGCATGGGTGAGTGAGCCCCCTTCGCCTGCTCAGCAGTCAAGTTGAGGTACCAGGGAGAAGCCAGGCCAAGCTTCTGTAGAGAGAGCTTTATCCAGACGCCACTGTTCCTCCTGCCTCCACCCCTGGCCTGCTCTCTGAGAGCCAAGCAGAGGGATGTGCACATTCCCACGGACACAGTGACACCGGTGGCAGTTCAGGGTTCTTGGCGAAAACCCGCCTAGGAATTAGGGCTTCAGGTTCCTGTCCAGCAGCAGCAGAGCCATTTCATAAACGCATTTTCTCGTGATTGGACTCAGCCCTTGGCTGTGAGCAGACTGGGCCCTGGAGTCAGCTCCCTCTGGCTGGCTGTTGGGGAGCCCAGTGATGATTCAAGGATGGTCCCTGACGTCTGCATTTTAAGTAGCTGAAGAAGGAGCTTCTGGGGCTTGGGGCCCGTCCAGGAGCCTCCTGAGAACTGGGTTCCCAAGGGATCATGCTCTTTCTTGAAGCCAGCTTGGTTCCACGGAGCCTCAGGAGTCAGCCTTCCAAACCAGTGGGTCCTCGGAGCCCAGAAGTAAGCTCTTGTTTCTCCTCTCCTGCCAGGCAGGTGGCCCTGCCAGTGGTTCTGTAACCGAGTCCTGGCTGCATTGGTTCTTAGAACCATTTGCCTCTAGGTATGCAGGTGCTGTGTTCCTGAAAGGGGCGCGGAGGTGGGCCAAGTACTCCCCGCCTGAGCTAGGAGACCACACTCAGGGGCTGAATCTCCCACAAACCCCCCAATCTTCCTAGGCTTGGAACAGCGATCCCCAGGTGCCCTTCTGGCTTCAAAAATCCCATGTAGTGGGTTAAGTAGGTTTCTGTTTTCTGAGTAAGTATCATTTGTGACACTGTTTATGGCAGATGATGTCCTGTGTGTCAAATCTTTAGAACATGAATGTTTGTTGAGGGGTTCACATTACTAAATTTTTGCATTATCGTCAACTTTTCACATCCAGTGTCCTGAAAACATTTCTATTTAAGGTGTCTTTGTTTGCCAGTTCTTATCACAGCTGCTGAGCCATTGTGCTTTATTTTCACAAGGGAGTCACAGACTAGCTAACGTCTCCCATGTTTATAGTTTCAGGGAGTAATTCTCACCAAGGTACTGAGACTTCTCCAAACTAACCAATGTCACTGTGCACCTTCTCATGGCTGCTCCCCACTTACTAACATCAAGTCCCATAGAAACACAGTGCTGCTCAGTGGTCAGGGAGACAGGCTTATTGATGCTGAGAAAACGCAGAGCCTTGGGCTTCTGAAGCTTCGTGTGCTTGTGACCAGCTTTTGCCGACATCACAGTGTTGACATAAAACCAAGCATTGTCCGCATGTAGCTCACCCTTGTGAAATAACTCGCCATCCACAGGCGGACTGGCTGTCCTTCCTCTCGGGTAGCTTTTCCTTTCAGAAGAGCGTCTTGATCTTTAGTTGGTGCTGAAGTGAATATGGTGTTAGATGCTAACTTGTAGCCTACAGACTCCGCTGACCTCCGCAGGCCGTGTGCCTGTGGAGGAAGTCACGTCTCTTTTCTAACTCTCTATTTAACTGTTGCCCTAGGGCAGTGGTTGGCAAACTGTGGCTCGGCAAACCGCAGCTCGCGAGCCACACAAAATACCGGCTCTTCCACAAAATACCGACTTCTGCGCATGGGCCATGAAGTTTCAATTGCACTGTACGTGCGCGTCCGCACGTGGTATTTCGTGGAAGAGCCACACTCAAGGGGCCAAAGAGCCGCATGTGGCTCGTGAGCCGCGGTTTGCCGACCACGGCCCTAGGGAAACAGGCATTAGCTATCCACTTAGATACCCTAACTGGTTTGGCTTAGTGAATAGAGCTTTGGCCTGCAGACTGAAGGGTCCCAGGTTCAATTCCTGTCAAGGGTACATGCCCTGTTTGCAAGCTCTATCAATGATTCTCCTTCATCACTGATGTTTCCATCTCTCTCTCCCTCTCCCTTCCTCTCTAAAATCAATAAAAATATATTAAATTTTTTAAAAAGAGAGCTACAGCTCTTGTCCACGTGCTTGAACAGGTGAGGAGGCTTCATTTGCTCATGTTGTCTGTCATTGGTTCACCCCTTCCCACAGCCTGTCCTTGTGCGGAGACAGTGGGGAGGGCCTGCCTGGCTGGGAAAACAGAGCCCCGGGGTCTCCCCTGGAGAACGGGACTTCGGAGAACACCTTCCTCTCTGGGCAAAGGGTGAACTGAGCGCGAGAGAAGGACTGGCCAGAACTCCAATGCAAAGAGCCCTTAAAGCCTCTGTAACGTGCAGG